AGGTTTTAAACTTTAACTAAAGAAATTGTATTTTCTGTACTTCAAACTTGCTGAAATGGAAGAACAAGCTTAAGCAGAAGAAGCAGAAAAAACATATTTTCTGAGTTTGGTTTAAAGAAGCAGAAATGAGCAGATAAATTAGTAAATTAGCTAAAGCAAAGCTGAAATTAGCAAGAAATAGCTGAAAAGTACCTGAAATGGCAGAAAGAAGCCTAAATTACCAGAAGAACGAGGAGAGAGCACAGTTGTGCACAATTTGGCTGTAAGACGCAGAAATGTGCACATAAAGTGGAAATTCTCTGAAAAAAACTGAAATTTACAATTTTTAAAAAATAAATACATTTTAAATAAACAATCCACGCTGCACGGATTGTTTATTTAAAATATTACAGTGTTTAAATTGAAATTGTTTATTTACACAGAAGGAGATCAGGAGCAGGTGAGGAGTGTGACTGCAGTGGAGAAATGGGCGTGGCAGAGAGCGGAGATCAGGACACGCTGCAGGAGGGAGCTTCTCCCTGCACCTGTGGGCTGCACACAGGTGCAGCAGGTGCGAAATCATTTTAAATAATTTATTTTAAATAAACAATCCATGCCACTCGTCCAGCTCATCCATCAATCAGCCAATTGTGTGTCACGTCCAATTTTACTTTGAAAAACCGCAAAAACACGAGTCTGCAAAAGTGGAACTAGCGAGGGGACTACTGTACATGAATGTTTCTGTTCAGTGTCCTGAGATGACCTCTGTTGTGATTTGGTGCTATATAAATAAACTAAATTGAATTAACCCTGTCCTTCACTGGGGAAAACTAGCACTGCCCCATTCAGCCGGGGGCTTGTGAGTAGAACCCTCAACGACCTCATGCTGTAGATCTTTTCTCAGCTTTCATCATAATTTTAGCTCTGAAAAGTTAATTATTGTTTAGACGCTGATTATGAAGTGAGAAGGTGACAAGTCTAACCTCCTTTCACTTCCAGTGAACAGCGTCAGTTTGAGCTCAGACTCTGACTTACCTCATCTATTCCACGCAGAGCCACTTTGGTGGTCCACCAGTAATCCAACGAGATGAACAGGCCCACAGACAGAGACCTGGACACAGACCAGGTGACGGGTTTAGTGCACATACACTCCCCAAAGGACATTTAGTGAGATATTAACATGCAAAAAAATCCATAGGAATATATTGTACGACTTTGGTCCACAAAATAAAGTCTCTGAGGCTGAGCAGAGTTTGCTCTGCGACGCGTCCCCATTAATCCATGCACCTTGTATTTTATGTATTTATTAAACCACAATTACTTTTGCCCTCCATTAAACAGCACCTGTATTAGTTTACATCACTGATAAGTATGACTGAAAAACACATCGATCCAAAAAAGTGACGGTCAACAGTGACGGTCCTCAATCGACAGTCAACAGAAAAGTTTGCAAAAACCCTATTAAACCAACACCTGGTGCCATATGTGACCACGCCCCTCATGCACTTACCTGCAGGACTGGACAAATCTGAACACCTGTGCCACCATAAACAACACAACACGTAACAGTCATTTTGGCTCTTACATAGAATTAAAAAAACATACATGATAAGCTGACTGTATTCTAAGCTCATGATTTTTGATTTAGATTTAGATTGAAGATCTTCTGACTCGTCACTATGGCCACGACAAACTGTTAAAAGCAGCGTTTCAGACAGCAGAAGATAAAGAAAACCTAAAAACTGCATCAACGTGCAAACTCTGACACGTTGCTTGAACCAAAACCAAAATGCCATCCATCCTTTACACTTTGTTTCTGCATTTTGCTTTTCTCAAACGAATAACCACATTTTGTAACATCACCAGTTGTTTGTTTGAGGTTGTGTTTATTTCATTTTATGATCCGATCTTTATTTCTTTTTAACAGACCAG